TTGGAGGCAAGTGGGGCCTGGCTGGAGTCTGGGCTGTCTCTTTGGGAACCCTGCTCTGAGAGGCACAGGGCTTGCAGTTTCTGGCCATGGGAAGGCAGGTGTTGGCTGGAGAGCCCTCAAGATCTCATTGAAAATGAGGTGGCAGAGCAAAGTTCACAGTCCTGGCTCTGAGCACTGCACACACTAAAATCACTGCAGAAGACACAGCAGGGCAGCACCCTGTACACTAAATTGCTCAGAGGCATGAGCTTGCATCATATGCTACCTGACCAAGGAGGCAGTACCTTAGGAAAGCTCCTGCTAAGTTGCCTCAGTGGCACATAAGCAGTTTTATGATGTGTCTCATTCATGAAACGGCATTCTACTTTGCCCTGTGTTGTAGCCTAGTTCTCACTAAGATGTCAGTTCTTTGTGTCCAGTGGAGACTAACAAAAAAGATTAAAGGTTTAAAAAACATGACTCACAAGGAAAGGACTGAAGTACTTAGGTCATTTAGTCTGGAATAGAAAAGACTGGACAGGGATTTGAAGACTCTTCTAATAAAGGGAATTGTAATACATGGCTCTCTGTGTCTACAGGAGACAGGGCAAGAATGAATGTTCTTAAATTGCAACAAAGGATGTTTTAGTTAAGATATTAGGAAGAATTTTATAACTTGAGAGAGGTCAAGTACTGCAACAGATAACCTGGAGAGGCTGTGGAGTCTCTGTCACTACAACTTCTTAACTGCAAGTTAGGCAAACCTTACTCTGGGATGGTTAAAACATGGATGGTCCTGTAGGTTGTTGGACTAGCTGACCTCCGGAGGTTCCTTCCAGACCCATTTTCCTACAATTCTGCATTTTGCCCTGCACAAATAAGTCTGTCCTACAGCAGGTGCCTGGAAGCAATTTAACATGGCCATGGGGGTCCAATGCCATTTAAATTCCTGTGCAAGTCAGGGTCACTGCAGATGCAGATAAATACTGTGCAAAATCCCAAGACTAGATGACCAAACACCAAGATTAGCGACTGGTTTTGGAGCTCGTGGTGATGATAGTGCCACCCATGCCTATCCTACGGCTTGATGTTTAAGGCATGCTAATACATGAGAGATGGGCTCAAAGCCTTCAGGTGAAGAGGTTCTGGAACTCAGGCCTCCCGTGACCTGGGCAAGCATCCTAAGCACTAGGGTATTGGAAGAGAAGGGGCTTTATCTGTGCAGTTGTCTGTGGAGAGGTCTCCTGGCTCAGTCATGAGTCCCGCTAGGATGGCTATGTCTCGTGGTCAGCATGAAGGAGAATTCCACCACCCATCCCAGTTCCCCACTGAGAGGAATGGAGAGCTGGGTATCTCCTGGGCAATGGAAGGTCCAGCTCTGGAAATGTTTAAGTGTTTCCTAGTAAAGTACATAGCAGAGCTGTGTGATTTTGCAGGGGGAACTAAAATGTGCCTCTGGAAGGCCCAAACTCCCCAGTGAGACTGTAGGAGAACCGCACATCTATGCAGCAGAAGTAGAAGGCCCCTAATTGGGACCTGGCTGGCAGGCTGGCAGAACTGTTCCCTTTTTCAGTTAGTTCCTCTCTCCTCTTGTAAACAATCTCTAGCTCATTGTGTCACAGGGACTTGCTAACACTTGTGTCTCCTTGGCAGAGTGGCCAAAGGATGCCTGCATGAGCATGATGCAAGCAAGGGCCATGGAAGTGGGATTGTGGGATGCATTGTCTATAAGTACCACTTCACTGACCATGGAGGAAACAGTAGGCAAAGGCTAAGGACAAGGTGAGCTAGCTCCTTCCATCAGGCAACACAGATGAATTTGGAAAGAGAGGGTACGAGCCTCATAAGCTTGGAATCAGCTGAGACTGCCCCAGTTCATTACTGGCATACTCCACCCCATACAACCTTTCACAAATGGTGACCACCCTTTTCATAGCTGAATCAGCATATGGCTCAGGGCAGCCCCAGTGTGCTGGGAGCTGTAGGGCCTGTTGTCTCAGCCATTGCTCCAGCCTGGTCAGTCTGTGGTGGTTCCATCCCAATGAACTTTGGAAGAGAAAGATGGTCCCAGTTCTGCAAGGTGACTTCAGTATCTCCTTAACTGCATGGAGGTGAACAGACGACCCATGCAAGTCAGTGGGAGCCTTCATGAGTATCTCTGCTGAATTGGAACCCAGCTTGTCACTGGCTGGAGAAATGGAGAGGTTCTCAGTGGTACTTCTATAAGTCTTTGGTTTCTTACTGAACTTATGGTCATTTATCAAATGCCTTGGAAGGGACGGTAAGCCAAACCTTGCTGCTGATCTAACATTTGTGTCCCTCTGTGTGCTTTGCTATTTCTGCACACCACTGTCTTAATCCAGTTTTTCTTTAGCTAATTTAAACATGCATCAGAAATGTTCAGTTATTTTCCTTCTGTTGTAAGCACCGTGCTGGCACTATGCCTTCTGCCTGCCCCCTTCCCCCCTCTCTCTCCCTCACCCATTCTTTGGTTTCAGTATTAGGTACACTTGTATTGTATTTGGATTTCTGGGTTTTGCCTTTCACATATTACAATGGAAAATGGAATCTTCTCCAGTAATGATCAGTGGCTGGTGGTTGCCCTATCCTGCAGAAGACATGATAATCTTATTGACCAAAGAGCTGTTGTTCCTCCAGCCACTGTGCTTGTTATGGGCCAAGGACCACTGATAGGACTTACTCTGTGCTAAGTGCTAAACTAATTGCTTCTGGTTCTAGTTACTGGTAATACCAACTTGCAAAGTCTGCTCAGACACACCTAAATCATCCTGTAACATGTGTCATAATCCCAGCTTGATCCATCACATAGATTCTTAAAATTAAACCAAACTATATTCACAGCATCATAACACTATGGGGTGATAAGTTAGTACATTCATGTACTTGAGGGTTACACTCCTTTCAAAATGTTGGTTACACAACTGTTCATTAAGTGTGTTCGATAGCACAGTTCCTGCACAGAACACAAGGTGACGATGAAACAGGAATAGGCAAATCCAACCCACAGGCCATATCTGGCCTGCCATTTGACTGTATCCAACCCATGGCTGCACTCCACATGGGGCCACCCACCCTACATGGCAGGGCAGTGGGGAGCTGGGAGCAGGCAACTTTCTGCGCCCCTTGCTGTGCCCTGCCCTGCTGTGGCTGCACTGGCCAAGGCAGGCCACCTTGTGGAGCAGACAAGCCTCTTCACTGATCCTTGCCACAGATTCCCCAGAGGAGCTCTCCCTCGGGACCACCAGCATCAACACAGTCTCTTGAAGATCTCTGAAGTCGGCCAGACTTGGCTTCTAGAGGGGGTGAGTCCCTGGCTCCGCGGACTCTGAAGCCTGCCCTTTCATCCCTGACCTCCCTATGGCATCTCAGAGACCTATCTTCTGAACTAGCTCCTCCTCAAGGGGACAGGGTCCACCCAAAAACCCACACAAAGCATGCAATTCTTCTTAAAACAGCATGTATTGGTCAACAGCAGTACAGCAGGTGGAGTGCTTGGGCCACAATGCCAGGCCAACAACCAAGCCAATTCCCAGTCAGGGAAGCAGCTGTGGCTGTTGTCTCTCCAGACTCTCAGTGTCTTCTCATCCTGCATTTCTCTCCATTTGTTCTGGGCACTGCCTTTTCAGACAGTCTCTTTGCACTGGTCTTCTTTGAAGTCCCTCCCAGGCATAAGAAGTAGCAGGGAGTCTCCAAGTGCCTGGGCCTGAAATCAACAGGGCTCTGCTGTTTTTTGGCAAAGTGGTTCATGGTTTTCCTGATGGCCCATTCCTCAGTAGCAGACACCCTTAATGCAGAGACTCCCAAATCTGCTTCAAAAGAAATTTTGGCACCTGTGCATGCTCAAATCCCATCCAGGACAGCCACCTGTCCACTGAACTGCGCTCATAGTCTCCTCCCAGCCTACTGCACCTGGGAAAATGCAAACATGCAGCACTGAGTGGTGCTTGTGTCTCCCCCAACAGCCTAGCGCTTACAGAACTCACCCCGGAAATGTGAGGCCTGGGCTTCAGGCCCATCTCGCCCTGGAAAGACTGCCTATTTTCCAGGTTAGGGCTATACCCCTCAGACCCCACAAGCTGGGGCTATGCCTGTCCTGATCCCTCCAGCTGGCACTAGGCAGGACAGGGAGCACCCTCCAATCCTGCTGGAGCCGGGCAGCCAGGGGGGAGAGGATCAGGAGCCAGGAAGACAGCAAGAAGCAGGAGTGTGACTTAGTGGCCCAGCAAGGGGGGGTGCTGCCCCGGGAAGGGGAAGACTTAGTTCTGGCCTTCTCCCAGTGCTGTTGACTCATTTTATTCAAGGACAAGGTGATGCAAAAGGCATAAACAGTCCAGGGAGCAAGAGGGAGGCAGACTGACTGTGAAGCCAAGGGCCTTGGGCATGCAGCTGTGGGGAGGAGGCCAGGGTACAGTCCTGACTGCCAGGACTCTGCAGTAAATAGTCATGATATACCATGGACACCTGGCATCAAGAACAGGTCCTGGCCCTTGGGACTGGCAGACCTGGCAGCCATGGAGGTGTGATAGGACTATATCTCCTGAAACAACTGGTGAACAAAGTGTGAGGTACTGCAGAAGCCTATTAGGATGTGGGCCTTGTGCTTAAAGCCCAGCACTTTCCACAGCCAAGGAAAAGGATGAGCAGGATTGGTGGAGGGGAAATACTTGGGTAGAAAAGTGATAATGACCATCTGGGGAGGATTACAAAGGTCAGCAAGCTGCAGTACATGGCAGAGAAAGCAGCCAGCTGTGTTTAAAAGCTCCTTGCAACTCAGAGGCAAGGTAAAGGCAG